TGTGTGTGTGTGTGTGTGTGTGTGTGCGCGCGTGTGTGCGTGCGTATGTGCGTATGTGTGTGTGCGTATGTGCGTGTGTGCGTATGTGCGTGTGTGTGTGATGTGCGTGTGTGTGTGTATGTGCGTGTGTGTGTGTATGTGCGTGTGTGTGTATGTGCGTGTGTGTGTGTATGTGCGTGTGTGTGTATGTGCGTGTGTGTGTATGTGCGTGTGTGTGTATGTGCGTGTGTGTGTATGTGCGTGTGTGTGTATGTGCGTGTGTGTGTATGTGCGTGTGCGTGTATGTGCGTGTGTGTGTGTGTATGTGCGTGTGTATGTGCGTGTGTGTGTGTGTGTATGTGCGTGTGTGTGTGTGTGTGTATGTGCGTGTGTGTGTGTGTGTATGTGTGCGTGTGTATGTACATGTATGTACATGTATGTGCGTGTGTGTGCACATGTATGTGCGTGTGTGTGCACATGTGTGTGTGTATGTACATGTGTGTGTGTGTGTGTATGTACATGTGTGTGTATGTGTATGTACATGTGTGTGTGTGTATGTACATGTGTGTGTGTGTATGTACATGTGTGTGTGTGTATGTACATGTGTGTGTGTATGTACATGGTGTGTGTGTGTGTGTGTGTGTGTATGTACATGTGTGTGTGTGTGTGGTGTGTATGTACATGTGTGTGTGTGTGTATGTCCATGTGTGTGTGTGTACATGTGTGTGTGTGTGTGTGTATGTACATGTGTGTGTGTGTGTGTGTATGTACATGTGTGTGTGTGTGTGTGTATGTACATGTGTGTGTGTGTGTGTGTATGTACATGTGTGTGTGTGTGGTGTATGTACATGTGTGTGTTGTGTGTGTATGTACATGTGTGTGTGTGTGTGTGTATGTACATGTGTGTGTGTGTGTGTATGTACATGTGTGTGTGTGTGTGTGTATGTACATGTGTGTGTTGTGTGTGTATGTACATGTGTGTGTGTGTGTGTGTATGTACATGTGTGTGTGTGTGTGTGTATGTACATGTGTGTGTGTGTGTGTGTATGTACATGTGTGTGTGTGTGTGTGTGTGTGTGTGTGTGTGTTGTGTGTGTGTGTGTGTGTGTGTGTGTGCGCGCGTGTGTGCGTGTGTATGTGCGTATGTGTGTGTGCGTATGTGCGTGTGTGCGTATGTGCGTGTGTGTGTGTATGTGCGTGTGTGTGTGTATGTGCTGTGTGTGTGTATGTGCGTGTGTGTGTATGTGCGTGTGTGTGTATGTGCGTGTGTGTGTATGTGCGTGTGTGTGTATGTGCGTGTGTGTGTATGTGCGTGTGTGTGTATGTGCGTGTGTGTGTATGTGCGTGTGCGTGTATGTGCGTGTGTGTGTGTGTATGTGCGTGTGTATGTGCGTGTGTGTGTGTGTGTATGTGCGTGTGTGTGTGTGTGTGTATGTGCGTGTGTGTGTGTGTGTATGTGTGCGTGTGTATGTACATGTATGTACATGTATGTGCGTGTGTGTGCACATGTATGTGCGTGTGTGTCACATGTGTGTGTGTATGTACATGTGTGTGTGTGTGTATGTACATGTGTGTGTATGTGTATGTACATGTGTGTGTGTGTATGTACATGTGTGTGTGTGTATGTACATGTGTGTGTGTGTATGTACATGTGTGTGTGTATGTACATGTGTGTGTGTATGTACATGTGTGTGTGTGTGTGTGTGTGTATGTACATGTGTGTGTGTGTGTGTATGTACATGTGTGTGTGTGTGTGTGTATGTACATGTGTGTGTGGTGTGTGTGTATGTACATGTGTGTGTGTGTGTGTGTATGTACATGTGTGTGTGTGTGTGTATGTACATGTGTGTGTGTGTGTGTGTATGTACATGTGTGTGTGTGTGTGTGTATGTACATGTGTGTGTGTGGTGTGTATGTACATGTGTGTGTGTGTGTGTGTAGTACATGTGTGTGTGTGTGTGTGTATGTACATGTGTGTGTGTGTGTGTGTATGTACATGTGTGTGTGTGTGTGTGTATGTACATGTGTGTGTGTGTGTGTATGTACATGTGTGTGTGTGTGTATGTACATGTGTGTGTGTGTGTGTATGTACATGTGTGTGTGTGGTGTATGTACATGTGTGTGTGTGTGTGTACATGTGTGTGTGTGTGTATGTACATGTGTGTGGTGTGTGTGTATGTACATGTGTGTGTGTGTGTATGTACAGTGTGTGTGTGTGTATGTACGTGGTGTGTGTGTGTATGTACATGTGTGTGTGTGTGTGTATGTACATGTGTGTGTGTGTGTGTATGTACATGTGTGTGGTGGTGTGTATGTACATGTGTGTGTGTGTGTGTATGTACATGTGTGTGTGTGTGTGTGTGTATGTACATGTGTGTGTGTGTGTGTATGTACATGTGTGTGTGTATGTACATGTGTGTGTGTGTATGCGTGTGTGTGTGTATGTACGTGTGTGTGTGTATGTACGTGTGTGTGTGTATGTACGTGTGTGTGTGTATGTACATGTGTGTGTGTATGTACATGTGTGTGTGTATGTACATGTGTGTGTGTATGTACATGTGTGTGTGTATGTACATGTGTGTGTGTGTGTACATGTGTGTGTGTATGTACATGTGTGTGTGTATGTACAATGTGTGTGTGTATGTATCGAGGAAGAGAAGGGGGAGGAGGGGAAGGAGAAGTGAAGAAGTAAAGGAGAAGTAAGGGAGAGGGGGAGAGGGGAGGAGGGGGAGAGGGGGAGAGTGGGAGAGTGGGAGAGAGAGGAGAGAGAGAGAGAGGAGAGAGAGAGAGAGAGAGAGAGAGAGAGAGAGAGAGAAGAGAGAGAGAGAGAGAGAGAGAGAGAGAAGAGAGAGAGGGAAGAGAGAGAGAGAGAGAGAGAGAAGAGAGAGAGAGAGAGGAGAGAAGAGAGAGAGGGAAGAGAGAGAGAGAGAGAGAGAGAGAGAGAGAGAGAGAGAGAGAGGGGGGGGGGAGAGGGAGAGGGAGGGGAGGAGAGGAGAGGAGAGGGAGAGGAGAGAGAGAAGAGAGAGAGAGAGAGGGAGAGGGAGAGGGAGAGGGGAGAGGGAGAGAGAGAGGGAGAGGAGAAGAGAGAGAGAGAGAGGGAGAGAGAGGGAGAGGAGGGAGGGAGGGAGGGAGGAGAGGGAGGGAGGGAGAGAGAGAGAGGAGCAGAGAGAGAGGAGAGAGAGAGGAGAGAGAGGAGAGAGAGAGAGAGGGAGAGGGAGAGGGAGAGGGAGGGGAGAGGGAGAGAGGGAGAGGGAGAGGAGGAGAGGGAGAGGGAGAGGGAGAGGAGAGGGAGAGAGGAGAGGGGAGGGAGAGGGAGAGGGAGAGGAGAGGAGAAGAGAGGAGAGAGGGAGAGGGAGAGGGAGAGGGAGAGGGGAGAGGGAGGGAGAGAGAGAGAGAGAGAGGGAAAGGGAGAGGGAGAGAACATGTAGAGGGGGTGAGGAAGAAGAGGAGGCAAGGTAGGACAGAATGACAAGAGAGGATGAAAAGGCAAGATGATTAAGAGCAGCAATTGATAAAAAAAACTAGTTTGGACCCATGATTTTCATTAAAGATGTTGACAAGGATGATGGCAGTTATCATCATCATCATAATCAAATCATCTGAGAATCTAAATATGATAACAATGTTTTAGTCTTGCTCACATCTGAAGTTTCCATAACTTCACTAATTCTCACTTACAATGAAATAAGAATTTCTCAGGTGACAACATGACCACAGCCAGAAAAGAATATTTTTTTCTCTAAGACAAGGAGAAGAACAATATTTTAATCTCTTCTCCCAAAAGTGAGTCTGCACTAGAGAGTAGTATACATTTCCAAAGGAAAATAACAGAAATAAATCATATCTCATCTGCCAAAGACACTTCTTTGGAAATTTTTAGGAAACTCTTTATATATAACATATATACATACATACATATACATATATACATGTTTACACATACACATATGCATACATATATATATATATATCATGCTGACCACTGACATCAAAAGCTGACTTGCATTACATTTTTAACCCTTTGATGACATGAGTGTATGTATACATGGACTGTCCATTGTGGTTTTGTTTCATTCACTTTGTATGCACACAGATGGCTCCACAGGCACCTAGTCACCAAGGAGTCAATTGCTATGCCTACCTAATTTCACCTGCTTACCCCACTCCTTGAATTATTACTCAAAGAAGTTTTTAATTTGATTATCAGTACATTAATAACAAGATCATTGGCGATAATTTTTCATTATAAATAATTTATCATCATTATTATTACTATTATTATCATCATTTCATTCATTATTTATCATCATCATCATCATCATCATCATTATCATTATATATCCATCATCATTATATATTAGCAGCAGTAGTAGTAGTATCATTACTGTCATCATTACTATCAATATGATTATACTTATTATTAATGTCATAATATATATATAATCATAATAATAATAATAATAATAAAATAATAATATTATTATTATATAATTATTATTATATTATTTTATTATTATATTTATTTTTTTTTTATTATTATTATTATTATCATTATTATAATAACAATATTAATAATGATATTAATGATGATAATACTAATAATCATAATAATAATAATGACATTATACTAATGACATTTTAACAATGACCTTGACCATGATAATGAAGATGAAGAAGATGAAGATGAAGATGACAATGATAACAACAACAATAACCAATCTACAGAAAAAAAAACTTTCCCTGAAAATTTAAGGGATTGAGTAAATAGATGAGATTCGACAAGCAATTAACCCTTTCATGACTAAGCAATTGCAAAGCCACCCAGGTATAAACAGAACTAATAAAACACCCACAGTAGACAGTAAATGTACCAAGAGCCATTGGGTCTAAGTACACAAATTTCCCTAGGTGTCTGGGGGGAGGAAATCCTTAGGCATAAACTTCCCTCTCCAACAAAAGAAAAAGATATATATATATAATGAACCACTCCCACTGCTAAGAGATAATGAAGAGAACGTTACCTGTAATCTTTTGAGATCTTTGTTTAGATGCTGTCTCTGCATCAAATGTGTGTTCATCTCCTTCATCATCTCATCATACTTCTCACGAATCTGTAAAAATGAAACAGTGTAAGCTATCATATATCATGATAAATCATTTCAGACAAATACTTTTGAATCATCTATCTACATAACTATGAAAATATTCAAGTCTGTCTGTGTCATAGCAAAAAAATCAGACATTTCATCAAATTACATCTTTTCCACTGAACTCGGGGTCAAAAAGGAAGCTATCTGTACATACCTTTACTCTACTAATAAAAAATGAAACATCACAGACTGTTTTTCATACACTTATTTTGCAAAAAAAGGCACATAGGTAATATTCTAATTTCAAGATAATATTTTCCATATTACTGTTTTATAAATCTAGTAACTCAATTACATGCAAAATAAGGATCAAACAACTATGAACTACATATTCTGTTCAAAGAAGAATAGATTCATTTGGGTAAATAATAAAAGATTACTATAATCAGCATTTCCTTTTGGATCTGCTAAATTACTTGACTATCAATTTCAAGGTATAAAACACAAAAGAGGGGAACATTCTATTGGAAAGACAGTTTGAATAATATGAAAAAAGATACTCAAAGCACTGATGACCTTTGGTAAGAAAAAATAAACAAAATAATTATGTAATATATCTAGTGCCATGTTCAGGAAGTTTAACTTGTTTTTAACAAATGCATAACCTGGAAAAAAGTACATAATCCCTAATGTCATCTTCTTCCATTTATCTTTTTTCAATTTCAAAACTCAAAAGAAAAACATGAAACCTTTAACCAGGCAACAACTGTTTCCCCACATGCACCTACCCAACAAAGACAATAATAAGTAATTCAATTAAAGGATGCAACAAATTGGAACGTTTTACTACATATTTTTGTGTGACAAAGAACAATAAAATTAGAAAGAAATAATCTACTCTTCCATTCCCTCAGAATCATGAATAAGCTCCCGTGTGTATTTATGATACTAGAAAGAATTTGCCGAAGAAAGAGCAATAGGAAAACCATCAATTAGGGTATCTCAACTGTGCGATGCTGCCATTTGTAGACTAAGTATATATAATCATTTTGCACACAAGTACTTGTGCAGACAATGAACACACAATAAAATAACCTAGAGAACAAACTGTAAATGAATTAGTCTTCCAGATGTGTCCTGACAATGAGCAAATCACAAATACCATGCAAAAGGAAAACCATAGACTAACAAGATATATGTATATATATTATATATGTGAGTTGTAATGTATAAATGAAATAAATATTGGATGTATTTACCAATGAAGCGATGTATCCATTGTACAGTTCAGGTAGGAACATAAATGGTGAGGACAGTTGGATAGGTGAAGGGAGGCAGCAGCGTGGCAAATTTACTTTTCACAATCTTTTTTCCACAAAATATTCCATTATTTATTCTACAATCAATGATGATGGCTCAAGGAATAGAAGAAAAGTATAATTCAAGGAAAGCTTGGTGTGAAGAATTCTAGGCATGTATTTATTTGTCTGTACTGAATTTTTATATATACATATATACAAGTACACAAGCATACAGACAAATACACACACGCACACGCACACACACACTCACACTCACACACTCACACTCACACACACACACACACACACACACACTCACACCCTCACACACTCACAAATGTTATATATATACATATATATACATATATATATATATATATATATATATATATATATATATATATATATATATATATATATATATATATATATATATATATATTATATATATATATATATATATATATATATATATATATATATATATATATATATATATATATATATATTATATATATACATATACATACATACATACATACATATATAATACATACATACATACATATACATATATACATATATATATACATATATACATATATATACATATATATATATATATATATATATATATATATATATATATATATATATATATATATATATATATATATATATATAATATATATATATATATATATATATATATATATATATATATATATATATATATATATATATATATTATATATATATGAGCTGAGGTCAGCTTATCTGAAAGCCTGTGCACATCACTTCATATACATACATAATCATACATACACATACATACACAATAGGCGCCCGCAAAAACATGAACACATACACATATACACACATAAACTCATACACCAGCATCATCAGAAAATAATTATAATCTTTGTCTGATATGAAATCAGTCCACATCTTACAAACCTCCTCAGATAGGTAACCTTCATGTATAGGATCCAACTGGACTTTTTGCTCTTACATCTAATTCAGTTCCAAAAACATAAGGTTTATCAATATGTACATCTAAGATGTGAAATTATTGTGTTATCATAAGTATATTTTACACTTCAACATTTGAGGTGAAGGTGGTTTTGTGAAATGACTAATGATAAGCAAATATAGGTACTCTAAGAGCTACAATACGACTCGGGAAAAAAACATTAAAATAAGCATAGGTTGCCTACTAATATTCAATATTTCTTATTTCAGTACTATACAGCATATGATGAGGTGCTTTCCCTTTCTGATCTTCTTCATTAACAATCAATTAAAATCTATCCTTTATCAATACATTCACTTGCCAATGACACATACATAAGCACATCCTTTACTCACACTACTTCTCCCACCTTCTTGTTACATCTTGCAGCTGAGCATCTACACATCTTTTTGTATTTGGAACCATGCCCTACCACAAGGGGTGAGAAGCTCACATTGAAAAATCTTGACTGGGACACTAGACAATTAAAATGTGAAGCTATCCAACCTCTGCTGTCATTTTCTTTTTTTTTTTATCATATCACATTTTTATCTGTAAGACACACCTGAGGCATAACCACAGCTGCCCCTGAAAACAGCTTCCTGTATGGCTTATACCAAGTACTTTAAAACTTTCACATATCTTATTACTGTAAAAAGTTCAAGGAAAAGCCATTCTTCTCTCACTCAAGTCTTTTAAGCATCTCACCTACAGATAATGTAATTTTTCTATTTGACTAGGCCTTGGACACCTGGCTTATTCAAAAACATCACATGCAAAGCTTGTGTTCCTCTCTGTTCCACTTGCCTATCCAACCACAACCACCAATTTACTGTTTCTTCCCTGTGCTTGGAACTTTGCTCTCAATTGTCTACCTTCATCTACTTCCCTGCTTGACCTTTTTTTCCAATCTTGCTTCCCAAATGTTAAAATGTATATTTCTAAGTTAAACATCAATAAAGTTCCTCCTGTCTTTTTACTTCTTGATTCCTATTCATGAGACACTTTGCAGGTTTATCTTTAATAAATGTTCTATCAATTGCAAGTGATTCATACCTGCTTAGGTATGAGAGTTTCATCCCTGTCATATATAATGTTACTGATCTGATCATACACCAGATGATCAGTCTTCTTTGGTTAGCATTAACCAGTGCCTATTTTTGCCATGATATAAATATAGAAATTATAACAAAACCACTATTGCATGGTCAAGTAAATCTATGACAATGCTTGCTTTATGGATAAAGTTTTTGTGTTTGTGGATGGATACAGTGTTAGTAAAGAAGAAAAATCAAAACAGTAGTACAGATAACATTTAAACTAGAAAATAATCAACATAAAATAAAAACATAGTTGTAAATCATAAATGAAAAAAGCATAGATATGCACCTACAAATGAACAATGGGTATTGTTTACCTTGAGCAGTTCTTCCTGCAGTTTGTTCTTCTCCCTGAGTGCAGAATCCCATTCTGTGATTGCTTTGGTACACTGCTGTTTGAGGCAGTTCTTCTCTCGCACTGCCTCATTACACTCACGCAAAACTTCATCATACTGCTTCTTCAAGCGAGATACCTCTTCCTACGATATTAGGAGGAAGGATATTATAATAAGTAAAGAATACAATATGAAGGCAGTATGAAATAAACATCCTATAAACTAGCTTAGGTCTTAAATGAGATACCATTCTACTGTATGATGAGTGATTCAGACACATTAGCATAAAAAACTTCTTAGTAATAAAAAGGCTCCTGGAATGTCAAATATTTTTTAACAGATTTTTATCTAATTGTTTTTATTTGAAAGATTTTGGTAACAGCAATACATAGTGTAAAAAAAACCTCAAGGCCTACTAATAATTTCACATAAATTATATGTATATATAAAAGACAAGGCAACCCACTCAGTAAAATGCCAATGCAAAATCCACAAACTAACCTGTGTGAGTTCCAGTTTAGAAATGTTGTTGGAATGTGAGGCAACAAGATCCGAGTACCTCTTTCTAATTGAGTCATATTCATCCTTGATGGCTTCATACTTGCGCATGGTGGTCATGTATAGCTGGTTGATGGCCTCTCCTGATCCTTCTTGTGACATAGCTTCCTGGATGGGTTTTTCCAAGGATGGGGGAAAGGAGGGTTGGTAGGGAAGTAAAGAAGAATAATTTTATTAATCAACTATTCTCAGATGAATAAATGTAGCCCCATTATCATAAATAACCACACAAGATAAATTGGTCGATTTTCTCCCTAGCTATGTATATGCCTTTCTCAATATCTAGCACTAGTAACACTCATCGATCATCACTATCATTGTCATGTCATGTCACATCACTCCAAAATCACAAAAAACATTTTAAAATGGAAACACCATTTTTTTTATATACAAATTTTGTTTATTTAAGAGACAAAGGCAATTTATATTGGAAAAAAGTGAATAACCAAGGAACTAAACAAATAAAATTTTTTTTAAAAAGGTGAAAAAATGGTGTGAATATTTTTTTTTTGCGTGTGAAAAAATTCATGCCTGGTTTTTGAAAAATACATAACACAAATATATCTGTGCTAACCAGTATTTCAAAAAACATCTTAAAAACAAAAACACAATCTCATATTTTTATTGTTGTTTAGAGGAACTATTTCATATATACATCTTCATTTTCACATTCATCTGAATCTTTACACAACAATTACATAGTACGGTAGCAATTAAGAGTAGCAATTACATAAAAAAAACTAAACTGAGACATACAATACGCTGCAAACATAAAAAAATCCAAGGGTATGATGTGAAGACTTAGGCAGGCCTAAGAAGGGAACCATCACTTACTATTACCGTCTCCTAAGTGTGGCATCAAAGAAAGACATCCCAATTACAAGTAAATCAACAACAGTTAAACTAAGAAAGACCCCAAAGACTATTGGGCAAGCAAGGCAAACAACATATCTAATCTTTCTCTTCTTCAGCATACTATTTCCTCATCTGATCTACACTGTCAATCTGAACATTATCTACAAAATGCTTCACAAAAATATTGCAACTACATAACAGTGATCTCTGCATCTATTTGAATAAATTCTGTAAATATCTATAACCTATGAGGAAAAAAAACAGCTTATGATGAATAACAATCTGAATACTTTATCACTAGAAGCAATATCAACAAATTAACTATCAAACAAGATTCTAGCTAAAGCAAAGATGCATATAAATATGACAATTAACACTGAACATCCATGTACGCAAGACTGCAGATGAAGAATATAAACATACAATAAATGCTACTTCAGATATCCGAACACTTCAGTCCTGTCAATGGTGTTCTTCATGCTTAGATTACATGCATCATTCTTTGCAGTTGTATAATGCTCTGTCACAGCAATATAAAGCCTGGGTCTACATTTCATAAACAACCAGATAAGAAACTCATGACCAATATAAAGAAAACACCAAAATATATAATCCCCTCAGTGTGAGGCAGCAGATGCACAGACTTTTGCATTACCTCTAGCTGCAAGACTGCCAAGTCTAAGGTTATGGTAATTCATGAATCATCCTGCTGTTTCCCAACCTGAGAGAACCCTTATAACTCTGTAAGGAGCAAGTCATGCAACTTTCATCCACTAGGGGGTAAGACCCACCTGTCTTTTGAGCGGGAATCTAACCTTCTGAGGGCAGGGGAGAAAGAGAGAGATGGGGAAGGTTAGGACCGGGTCTGTTAGGCAAAATTGGTAAGGAGTGTTTTCAACTATGATGGCATCAGCAAATCAATAATTGCATAGTTCAATCAAAACATCTTTTGGGCCTTTTCTGAAATAATTTGACTTTACCAATGCAATGAATTTGTGAACTGCTACAAATGTGTGGATAAAACTTAACATCTGATGCCTTCCTAGTTAAGGTCATCAACACCATACTACACTGCCACATAAAAGGGGTTATGAGGGCTGCTACTATATTTCATCTAGAATATATAGGACTAGCAAATAAAAAATAAAAAATACATTATGAAATATGAAACCTTCATCAGTATTGTCAAATCAGCAATAAAAGAGCCAACAGCCATGCACATATGAGTCTACTGATAGGTGGAAAATCTGCTTGATTTCACTGACTCATTACTAGTTTTTAATATGATTCCTATTCGGAACAAGAGCAAACCAAATTGCTGGCTATCATCTGACTTTATGAACCAGTTTAACCAAGCACTTCTCAAAATCATATGATAAAGAGACCATTAAAAAGGAATTCATACAAAAATTGAAAAGGAAGGCTGTATAGTTTATTCTGCTGCAGTTGCTGTAATGTGGTCTCACTTTGTCAATTTTTCTTTTAATATGCCAAATCAAGCATTCTATCTTTCAGTCCATAAGACAATTAAGTAAAATTTTCCACTGTAGTAAATGCACTACTTCATATTACACGAGAGACAATATAACACACTGAATTGCAAGAACCAACACTGCAGCAACAAACAGAACCTTCCTGAGGGACAAATATACCACCACCAATCCCGAGCTGTTTGCAAAAGCCAAGAACGGGTATTCTGAACAGTGATTGGAAACATACACTAATACTTTTTGTATGTATTTTTTGTTGTCTTTTTTGTAAAATCAGTGAATTCCAATTAAATATTTCTTTTAACAATTTACACTGACATAGAGGACAGCAAAAGAAAGAGTTGACCGAATAGAGGGAACTAAAATTTGTCTACGATTTCACCGCTAGTAACACTTATTGTCTTGGAAAGCTGACAAAGTGTCATAGCTGCTATAAACAATGGGGAAGTGTGCTCAATTTAGGGAGTGTTTTAAAGTTAAATGTGCATTTAATCTTGTCTAATACACAAGAAGAATACACAAAATACAAGGCACACCTACTGAAGTCTTCTTTGCAGAGCCTTATGGACTGCAAATCTAGGAATAAAATCAATTGTTTATCATGAATGGAAAACCACTGAGAAGCATCATGGAAAACTGGGTGCGCACTACTATATTATTTAGTGTAGCTTTGATATTATGGGAATCAGAATGCAACCTGATTGCAACTTTGTATTTCTCTATTTCTATTACAGCTTTAAGGAGATTCGGAAGAGGTTTTAGCAAGTTTAGAAAAAGGTACTATCAATGACTACTGAAGAATCAAAGTTGCGGAGCTTGTTACATATCTGAGTGCAGCTTGAGCTCATGGGAATCAAAGGTGAGTATAACCAAAAAAAGAATTGCTGTAAACCAGTCACTTTGCCTGGGTTAGTGATTAGTTTTGTGATGCTCCATCTACGATCGAAAACGCTCGTACTAGTAGGTTGCTGACCTGCTGTTGCCGCCGAAGGTCAGCGATCTCTTTTCGATCGTCTTCCATTATCGTTTGCAATGAAGTGACCTCACGCTCCAATTTTTGTTTCTCTGCCACAACCTGATAAAAGCAGAAGAGAAAATAAATTACCTAAAGGTGGTTCTGTTGATTCTATACTGGTTCTGCTCTAGTCCATTTCATTATCTATAACACTACATCCTCGAATTATCTGCCCATGAAATGTAAAAAAAAAAATAATATTTTAGTGATATCCATCTAAAAAAAAAAAAAAAAAAAAAAAAAAATATATATATATATATATATATATATATATATATATATATATATATATATATATATATATATATATATATATATATATAAAACATGATGATGATGATCACAAAAATAATAGCAATAATTACAGTATCATGACTATCATTTTCATTATCATGTAATGTAATAACATTAATCATAACAATGGTAATAAAATAACCAAAAAAAAAAAAAAAATAGTAATAACAATAATTA